CGAAAAACTTGCTGTTGGTGGAATCCCTTGCTATCTCAAGGAATGAGGGTGCTGGAAAGTCTTTAACTGAAGAAATATTTATTAAGGTGCCAAGGCATCATAAAATACAGAGAATGTAAAAAAACATTACTATGACCTTCTAGAGGTATGCACTTTCATTACCTAATACTTCTCTTGCACAACTTTAATTGTATTAATTAGAGAATGAATTACTCTGGCAGTTATTTGAAAGGAGTGATAATGAAGGTTTATGTTCTTTTCCATTATTTTTTAATCATATTTTCTTGTTAACTTGATTTCTATCTAATGAGAAGTTGCTAGAGGTTTTTTTTTCCATAATGGTATAGCATGTAGTTGGAATGAATAATTAATTATTTTACATTATAAGAAATGCTCAATTACATTACAGGGATTCATGTACAGCATATTGTGGTTCACACATCACATTATAATATAATCATATGCTTAGGGAATTTGAAAATTCATGTTATTCAGTATAATAATTATTAATGTCTTTTTACCTTTTACCATTCCAATACTCAACATCTACTTTCATTCATCATTAACTACTTTTATGTTAATCACAAGTTTTCTCCAGGACCTTGCTGTTCAGTACAACTGTTGGCTCTTTGAATGTGGCAAATTAAACTTGTTAAAATTAAGTAAAATTTAAGATTTTTTTCCTTCATCCCTGCAGTCACGTGTTAAGTGCTCAATACCTTCATATGGCTACTGCCTAATGAGTTTGTAGGACATTTTCTTCATTATAGAAAGTTCGAAAGCTCTGACAGCTCTTTTGTTTTATAAAATTTTTATAAAATTTAATATACTTAAAAGCTCTTACTGCTGAGATATTTGCAGATTAAATAATATAATTTGAGTTCAAAAAAACTGGAGAGAAGGAATAAAGTATTATGGAGGAAATAGAGTTTGTCATAAATTTATAATTGGTTAATATGCTAGGTTTAATTTTTCTCTTCCTCTCATTATTCAAAAACTGCCAGTGTCTTTGAAAGTACCTTAAGAAAAACCATAATAAACATTAAGTAAGAATAAAGTTCTCACCAGCATTTAGACGTATTTGTATTCATCTGTAGGCAGATGAAATCCCACTCCACATGACCTGGTTCCTGTAGTGTGGGAAGATTTAATTATGCCTTAAGACTTGCCTGATGTTGGTGGGTATTAAGTAGGGCACAGATTACACGGAGCACTGGGTGTTACATTGCAAACAATGAATCATGGAACCCTACATCAAAAACTAATGATGTACTGTACAGTCACTAAAATAACATAATACAAAAATGTGTAAAAAGGAAAAAAAAGACTTACCTGCAAGAGTATTATTGGGTCCCCCAATGATGGGTCCGTGATTAAAGGAGCAAGACTGATACAAAGCGAAGGTCAAGCAAAGCTTTATTTCACGCCAAGCATCGAGAATCAAACCGACCATTTGGGGCTGCCTCTTATAGAGAGGATGACCCCTCCCTGCCTTACAGACTAACTTTTATAGAGCAAAGGCCATGTGGTTGAGCCTGGCCATACACAGATGGGCAATGAGATTGCA